TTTTTTTTTTTTTTTAGAAAACATCTTTTTCTAATGGCCTGTTTTCAGTGCTTAGTCCTGTTTCTCTCCTAGACATAGCTATGGGTTCAGCTTTTACTCTGGATAACTGTGTGCTCTTTCTTTCATCCCTTTGGGCATGAAAACTGTCCCAAAGTCCATCTGCTTAATTGTTTCTGTCTGACTGAGCCACCTATGATGCTATAGTTTACTGCTGCCTTTCCTAACATAGAAAGTATTTATACAACAGTGTTTCTATCTTCCTCCTGTATGTCAGCCTCTGTCTCTGTGAACCCCCAGTTGGCCTTGGGAATAAGCCACTCACACTGAGTCTGGTTCTGCTGGTGGTTTCATCTTGTTCAGAGGGAGTTTTTCCTCTCAACTGTCTCCCCATAAATGTTCGGTGTGAGAGATTTTTGTCGTCAATTAAATTATTTAAGAGAATGTAACAATGTATCATCTGATTGAGTTTTCTCTGTAAAGTGCCTTGAGATGATAAGCTAAATTGAATTGAATTGGATAAGGCTTGCACGCATTTTCTATGTTGTAATTAGGTCTGAACTTCTTAAAGTAGAAGACTTACCTGTTCACCTTTAAAGTAGGACTGATAATTTAAAAAAGCATAAACCAAAATCATAACATATGCTCGTGCTAATTTTATTAAATACTTATTCTTCATATTTAACCCCTGACATGCATTAGAAATAACCTATGTTTCCAAAGTTTAACCAGGCCTGAAGGGCTGGAAACATACTCCCTTTCAATTCATATAAGAACAAACGCAGGGGTTATTTCATAAGAAAACATCAGGGTCACAGATGATCAAATTTTTAACCTGATCTTGGGATTTGTTTACCTTTACAATGCATGTACGGAGTCCTGATATGACACTGTAAAACCGAGAGCTCCTATGTTACCAGAGATACTGAGGCTTTGGATAGATTTTTTTTTTTTTTTTCCAGTTATGACTCATTGTAAAGCATGGTTTAATAACAGCTAATTGTTCTTTGAAATGCTATATTTTCAAGTTTTACAAATCAATTGGTTTTAGTTTATTTCATACTATAACAATTAAAGGACAGATAAAGAGGAAAAATGCTATCCGGAGAAGTTGAGAATATGTGCTTTAATTCATAAACCAAATGTACTTTTATACTAGACTAATAATTCTGCACATGTTTAAACAAATAAAAAACCTTAAGCAATATGACAAGAACAGGGGATATTATTACTCATTATTCTTTACAAGTTGCTCTTCTTTAATTCTGGGCTCTCTAAACAACTAAATGATGTTCTCGCAAGGTAACAAAGGCATCATTGTTCAATTATGAAAATGTGTACACTGTGTTTTTTTTGCCAAACATTAAGATTCTTTCAGTCATATTCCCTGGAGGATCTTTCATGAACGTGCATTGGACTGACTGTTCCGTCACGGGCGTAGACAGAACATTATCCTGACTGCTATTCTTGCTTCATTGTTGTCCTCCATACTTGTTCTTGTTGCCAAGGAAAGTCTAAAGTTTCTCCCTTTTGCTCTCATGTCAAAGGTGCAATATATGGACACATGAAAAGCATCTTGTTTTTTAAATCTAATATTTAGGTGGTGATAAAGTAAATACATTTACGTACTTTATAGCAACATACTTAGATGGAAATCTTTTCACAGCTTCTTTTGTTTTTACCATTTGAAAAATAGAATATTATCCATCAAAATAACTTCATACAACAGTAAACCGAAACAAACTTTTTGCTTTTGAAATACCTTATTTAAAGGTAACAATAATCTATAAAAAAAACTCATGGAGAACTGGTTTATCCATGATCCAAAAATGGAGGCTTAAATGGCCATACAACTAATCAAGAACTTGTCACTTTAATTAGAGCATTCGATTGAGAAGCACCCAAAAGTCCCAAGACAACTCTGAAATATGTGACGCACACAATGGGGAGATTCGTTCTCTGCATTTTGATCCATCCCCTTGGAGCGCAGTGGGCTGCCATTGTGTGTTCAGAAGTACTGGGCTAAGGGTTTGGCTCAGGAACCCAGAGTGGAGGCTGTGGGGCTTGCACCAGGTACTTGCAACCTTCTCAGAGCACAAGTGCACTGCTCTAATCCACTAGGCCAACACAAGAGTAGGAGAGATCTAAAGCTTAGGTGGAGAGAATGTGCTAGTATGACAATCAGTAGTCATATGTGCCACAGGTTTGCATACAGAAAGCCTTTCCTAAAAGAAAACTGTAAGAAATCCTGTTTGCAACAAGCCATTTGCTGGACCCAGTGAACACATAGTCTTGGAGAACATGTTCTGGGTAGATGAGACAGAAATGTAGGTTTTTAATGTAAATAAAAAGTACTATTGGTGAAAGAAAACTACCACCAACTTTGTTCTGGACTTGGCCCTCTAAAGCAAAGTAGTAGCAGTACCATACTGTGGCAATGCTTTCCTTACTGTGTATCTTTTGACCCAAAAGTTATCTTAATTTGAAACACATAACATGTTTTTCAGATTAATATAAAGTACTGAGAGCGTGTTGTGCTCCGTGTGGGCTGCTTCATCACTGAATGGGTAACGAGAACATAATAAAGATTACTAAAGAAAAATTAAATCAAAACCTAACCTCAAACGGTACGGAAACCGATTGCGGTCGTACTCTACTTTTGTTTTCTTTGCCTTGTTGAGATAACAACGTAACTATTTGTTATCATGGTTAAACCATTAATTGTTTTCTTGAGATGACAAGATAATTATCTGGTTATCACGAGAAAACAGTTATTTATTTCTTGAGATAACAAGATAATTTACCTGTATTAGTAATAAATGAGGCTGCCCAACAGCCCTGGATTCCCAGTCCATCCATGCCTGTGTTGCCTGGAGTTGTGCAGTTGCGGTACCCTATGTGTGAAAATAATCAGTTTTTCAGTTTCCTTTTTCTTTTCATTGGATCAGTGGTGGATGATTGAAATGCATGGAATACAGTAGAAACAAATCTGACCTTTTTTTTATGAAGATCTTTAATCTGCACTCATTTTGGGAGTTAATGCATCTTGTATCTGTTACAGGCGTAACACCGGGGCTCTTCATAAAACCCTGGCACTAAGGCAATGAGGCAAAGGTCTAATTGTTTATGAATTAGAAGTAGAAGAAAATCATCAAACCAACGTTGTCTCGTTACCTAAAAGTTAAATCCGGATTATTTAAAGAATTACACATAGGCTGCCTCAGTTTTAACACACACCAATCATCTCCTTATGATTAGAAAATTGCTTTCTAATGAGAAAATTATCATCTCGTTATCACGAGAAAACGGCTTCGTTATCTTTAGGTAATGAAAACATTAACTTGTTTTCTCAAGAAAACCCCCGTGAAAAAGTATCGGAGGGACACGACTGCTCTCGGCTTCCGTACTATGGGATATAAAATGGATCCATAAATCATTAGAACAATGGATTTTAAAAGTTGTTTTTAGGTAACAAAACAGATAGCACTTAGACGTAGTTTTGTTTTTCAGATTTAGGACCCTCTGCTTGTCCAGTCCAGGAGGCTAAACCACTGATCTCTATTTATTCACTGGATAGCCGATTGGGTGTTGGTACTGTAGTACTGTGAAGTCACCAGCCGCCATATTGCTACTCCCTATTTAGAGCCGTATACAATACGTGCGCTACAGCATCAAACAACGATTATGTTCTTATTTTCAGGGCGGCTTAAGACTTTCAAAATAAAGATAAATTCATCACTTTAATCCACACTTCCTGTTTCATAGCATCAGTAGATTACTGTAATTTATGGAAAGAAATAGGCACATCACATTGCATAGTCAGTATGAAGTCCATCCAGCCATCCATTTTCTTACATGCTCATCCCAAGTGGGGTCGTGATGGGTGCTGGTGCCTATCTCCAGCTTTCTAAGGGCGAGAGGCAGAGTACACCCTGGACAGGTCGCCAGTCCATCACAGGGAAACACAGAGACAAACAGGACAAACAACCATTTACGCACACACTCACACCTAAGGGGACTTTAGAGAAGCCGATTAAAAAAACTCTCATCCAAACATTGCTCAGTCTTCTTAAAGTAAAAAAACAACAACTCATTTTTTTTTATTATTTAAAATTTAGGTAGTGGTAAAGAAGTAAATAGGCATGTCTAGAAAGCTTGCAATTTTGTTCAGGATTTTGTCAACATGTGATTTACCTTTTTCTAATTAAAAGAGATGTTTAAGTGTTGTGTTTAAAGATATAACAACGCAAAATAGGATATAATTTAGTGATATAAGTGTTATAACAAAGTGAAATATTTTAGCTCTATCTTTAATAAAACCCCATATAATAGTGAAAATGACTTAAAAGTGAATGCAAGTTAGAGAGCATAAGCCTCTTAGATAAAGTGCACCAAGAACACTGACCTTTGACTACAGCTTCTGACCCAAATGGCATAAAGCCTGAACTCCTTTATATCCTCTCCCTTGGGTAAGTGAACTGAGCTCTTCTGGCACCATGTTTTGTGTCAGCGCTAACTTAGATGGCATTGCTAGGAGACAAATGCTGTTTATCAATAACACAGAATAAAGCTGGAATTTGACATCAGATATGCCCAGAGTAATCTATTGGGAACCCTCATTCAGGCTCTGTTCCTGCATTTGTATTATGCTACCATCCTTCAGGGACTTGTGGTTCCTTTTCGTGTCAGGATGCTTCACAAAAGTGTTTAGATACTTCTCAGATAGGTGTGTCTTTTGTTCATAGAGGGTACAAAACAGCAGGGACATTTTGCTATTTAAAGGTCACAGCCTAAGGCCATAACAAAAAATGATCCATTAAAAATATCTTCCTCACACAGATGCAGTGGGGATTATTATCATTTGAAAAGATCTGAGAGATAAACACTTGGCATGCAATCAATGATACAGATATTTGATAGATTTAGGATTTAAAATTAGAATTAGAGGATGTTACTGTGACTTAATGAAGATTTTACTGCTTGTGTAGTGGTAATAGATTTTCTTTCTTTCTGAACTGACTTTGTCTGTCGGTGCTTATTAAAAGTTCCCTGGTGTTCCTGTACCATGCACTTAAAAATATGCACATATTTATAATTACCCTCATGTATGCCTCAAGTTCAAGTTTAATGTCCATATTACACTTCTCAATTGAGAAAGAAATTATTCATAGAAGCAAAAGCATAGAAATATTACGTGCAGCCAAAGTTACACTTTATGCCAAGTATTACGAAAAAATGAAACTGAAGCCAGTTCAGGTTACTTTGTTGACGTTCACACCCATCTGGAGTCAGAGATATAAGTGGAGGGATCTGGCCACCAAAGAGAGCATAATACAAGATGAAGACATTCAGGTGAGACTAGGATACTTTATTTCGTTCTTCAGGTTTTAATATCATGTACTGCACTCACATTTTTAGATTCTTTATGAGTGTTTTTCTATTAAAAAATCAGATTATGATGTGATTTTTTTTTTTTTTTGTGATGTTATCGCAGTTAATTAATTTTAGGGGCTTCATGGTAAGAGCTGCACGGTGCCGCAGTTTGAAGCCTTGCTGCCTTGCAGCAAGAAAGTTCTGGGTTCAGTTCGAGGCATGGGGTCTTTCTGCATGTCCTCCCTGTGCATGCCTGGATTCTTTCTGGGTACTCCGGCTTCCACCCACAGTCCAAAGACATGACTGCTAGGTCAATTGGAATCGTTAAATTGTCCTTAGATGTGAGTGTGTGTGTGTGTGTGTGCATGGTTGAATGTCTTTGTGTGTCTCCATGTTGCCCTGCGATAGATTAGCAATCAGCCTTTCGCCCATTGAATGGAGGCACCGGCCCCACCGCGACCCTGATGAAATAAGCAGGAGAGGATAGATAGATGGCCTTCATGATGATTTTTTTCCTGAAACGATCAGTAGAAAATGTCTTTGCTGCTTTATTACAGATCCACACTGAACTCCATGTTCCTGGTCATTCTTGTGTGGCAGCTTGGCCTGTTTCTGCAGGTCGATGCCCAGTATCCAGATTCCTGCCTTGATACTGGCACTATACGGGCTCCAGGTTCGACTTCTTTTCTCGGATGTATAAATGCATGTTTTGCAGCTTTCATTGCTTCAGTCCAAGTTCCATTTTCTCATTTTGATTTTCCTTCACTACTTCCAGAAAATTCTGACATAAACGTAACCTGTGGCACCCAGTACATGGACTTGAGCATCTACATTTGTCCTATCTATAATGCTCAATACAATGAGTCAATGATGGTCCTAAACAATGAGGTGAAGAACCGTGAATGTTATGGAACAGCCGACTGGACTGTTAGTCCACCAGTTTTAAGATTTAGATTCCCTATAAATGAAAGTTCCCTCTCAGACTGCAACAATAAATTTCAGGTAATTATATCGCCTCCTCCTCCAAAATAGTTCAAATAAAAACATGTATTTTTATTTATTTTTTTACTTTATTTGTCTTATCCCTTAACAGATAACAAATGAGGCTGGAACTGGAACATTTTCAGACATCTCGATGGTGCAGGTTGTGAACATCTCCGGTGCTGTCATATCTGTAGATCCATCTGCAGGCATGATTACCTATCGTCCACAGATCCAGTACATGTTCTCCTGCAAGTACCCAATGCAGTACCTGCTTAACAACACTCAGCTCAGTGTGTAAGTATGCAGGGAGACAGACTTCGGTGCAATAATTCACCTGCAGTCCTGGAGGCTGGTTTGGTACAAAATGATGCAACATTTTAGTAAAATATTTTTAGAGATAGTAATACTGCTGCTGATATGAAATGTGAAAAAATGTTATCCATAACATATTTAGTTACTATTCTGGTAATAATACATATATCCAAAAACTGCATAAATATACGATTGAATTACTTAAATAAATGTGTTTTGTTTTTAAAAAAGGACTGTGGTGGTATTTAAGAAGTTATTGCTAAACATGTATAATGTAATTTTAAACTGTATTGGTACATTAGATTTTAAGAAATAGTTTTACAGTCGTAGACAGTGAAAGTCAAAATGCGGCAGCATTTTTTTTTTTACCCTCCAAGGATTACCTAAATGTGTTACTGATACAAATCTTAAAAAAATGTAGGTTACTTATACTAAAATATATGCACTTGTTTTTGCAGAGACATTGTAAATTATTTTGAGGTAAACTGCACAGCAGAAACCATAAAAATCCTAAAAAACTGTGATAGTAACGAATTATGCATCATAATGTTTTAAAGAATCAAATTTTAATAAATAATTTAAGAAATGCTAGAGTAAATATGTAGTAATCAAATACTACAGAAATGTCTGAGTAAAACAGGCACAAGGAAACAAAAGCATGAATGGATTCAAAAATAAACAGGGTTGAAAAAAAGTATTGAACAAAAAGATTTTTTAAAAATCAACAGCTAAGCACAAACAAAACCTCACATAAAGTCTTTATTAATTATTAAATTGTTTAGAAAATTATTCATGCTGTATTCAGATTGAATCAAAAAAGGCATGAACAAGTAATTATTATTATTATGGCTTTAAAATGATAATGTAAAATATTTTGTTATATTTTCATACTGCTAACCACCTAGTTTATAATGGTTTTGTTTTTTTTCTATTTCCAGATCAGGAGTTAATGTTGCCATACGAGATAATAACGGTAGCTTCATCAGCACACTTAGAATGGAGCTCTACCAGGTAAGAGCTGCTTTCATATTGCCTTTTTTACATTTAGAAATGCTTATCCTCTAAATATTACATTAGCTGGATTTGGTCAATTCTTCCTTTTTCCCAAAACAGGATTCCACCTACCAGAACTTGTTAACTATTCCACAAACAGGACTCAACCTTAAAACCAAGATTTATGTTGCAGTAAAAGCCGTCAACCTAACAGAGAAGTACTTAAATCTTTTTCAGTTTAGTCTAAATCAGTCAAAATTAGAAAAGACTTTATAATTGTACCTTTGCTCCTTAAAGGTTCCACGTGTTGCTGGACAGATGCTACACCACCACAAGTCCTTATTCTATGCAATCAACATTTTATGACCTCTTTGTTGGGTGAGTTGGAAACATGTAACCCCATTAAAGACAGTTGGTTTTTATCCACCTGTACTTCCAATGGCTTAACAAACCCCCCTTGTCTCGTTGAACCAAAGGTGTGATCGTGACCCACAGACTGTGATTGACGAAAATGGAGTTTCACAGAAAGCCCTCTTCTCCTTTGAAGCCTTCAGATTTGTGGAGCATCAAAATCTCACAGTTTCCACTTTCTTCCTGCACTGCGTCACCCGACTCTGTGAGACATCCCAGTGCAGCTCCTTACTGCCTGTGAGCCAACTACACTTTGATTACATTTCAAAGTTTGTGTGAAATCTTGCAGAAAGAGATCATGAAGACCGTTTGACATGTTATGCTTTTATTATTTCTTTACAATAGGACTGTAGTTCTTCAAACCGCAGAAGAAGAGCAACTGATGATGATGGGCCGCCCGAAGCTACCCTCACCTCTCGCCCCATATTTGTTGGCTCAAAGACTACTGGTACGTGTATAAACATTCATTCCCACAACACTGATAGTAACAAAGGCACAAAAGGAGATAATAAACAGCTGTGGTAGTTACATAATATGACCTAGGTGATCCTGGAAGTTAAAGGCAACGTTTGCAGAAAGTACACAGTACTTTTCTGGAACTGTCATGGGCCTTATCAGGTACCTACATTGAATTTTCACAAATTCATGCAAGTAATTTTCTGGAATAGTGTCCTTTTTCAGGAAAATACTTAGAATAAAGGTTATAGAAACATAATTTCTTTTTAGAAAGTACTTGGTAAGTTTTAGAAAGTACCTGGGAAGGAAGTTCTGTGAAAGCACAGCTTGTAGTACTTTTTGCAGTATTATACAGAATATTCCTGTAATTAATTTAGCCTAAAAAAAACAAAACAAAAACACCCTATATTCTAAATATTTGCTTATTTACCTTTTTGACGATGTGCCAACATTTTAGATATACCTTTTTATTCCTTTACACTTTAAATTATTTAACTTAATTTAAAAGTTGTGTACAAAATCCTAATTAGGAAGTTAGTGTTTTGGATTATTTTGAGGTCACAGCTGCTGCGCCTGTTGGGAACTGTATTGTAACTAAGGCAAAAGTTTTAGTATAAACATTTAACTTAAGTTGTTCTCCATCAGTGTTGTTTTTGACAGCCATCTTAGGTTTACAGTAATTTTAGTCTTCAGGAGGAAAACTGTTATCCGTCTTAGACGCATTTAAGCCATTACAATATGTGATATTTTTAGTCGGTTTTAATCGACTAAAACTTAAAAAGGTTTTAGAATAGTTTTTGTCAGTTTTATGTTGCAAAAAAAAAGTGAACCTTTACAATTTTGAATAACAATCAGATTTTTTTTTACCAGACTGACAGCTCTTGACTAGATACTACAATTGCTGGGTATAGAATGCTGCAGTTCATCATTGCTGTTGGGCAAAAAACTTTGATTTACAGAATTCAAATAAACTTTTTTATGAATTAATGCTCAACTTTATAAAAAAAAAGTGGGTCACAATAGCAGTGAAAATAGCAGATCTAGTTCAACACATCGCATTGGTTGATATAGCAGACAGACAAGCTAACAAAATGTACAATAAAGGAATGATATTAGACATATAAGGTTTCCATCCCAAAGCAAACACTTCCTGATCTACTATGAATCATGCATTACACACAGATCAATAAAATCTTCATTGCTCCAAAAAAGCAAAGAACAAAAACATTTTTCTTTCTACTTTGGCACTTTTGGCTTTATTTCTTCAATTTGCCCCTTGGTTACTGCTTCTCAAGGGTCAAAGTAGATTTAAATTCATGGGTTTTTTATATAAAAAAAAAAAATACAGAGAGAACCTGCATGATAGCCTTGTAATGCCATGGCAATCCAAACCTAAATTAAATAAATATGCTAACTAAAATGTTGAAATAATTAAAGGAAACAGAGAAAATGTTTAATGACAGTACAAGCAAACATTTAGATCATATATAGATAGATAGAAAGGAGAACAATGAGAGAGAAATATTTAAGATCTATACTAGAACTATTTTCATCTGGGTCTTTATTCAAAAAATAAACAGAATGAAATATTTTCTTTGGATATAATGTAGAGATTCCTTTTGGTAGAAATTAAAGAATGTTTAGCATCATCTCTTGTGAGCTGGAAGAAATTAAATCTTGTCAGACAAATGGAATTTTTAAGCTTGGCAGAGGATGATCAGCCCTATATAGTTTATTAAGTAGAGAGAGCAGGAAGAGCCATACTGCTGAGAGCAAACCATCGGTGTGGCATCGGTGTGCGCATTTCAGCACAGCTGGAACAGCTGGAAGATCAGAGTTAGTAAGAGTTGAGCTCACAGTACCGGACGATTCGGTTATTTTCTTCCCTGCTGCCATGATCCAGGTAGTGGGTGTGAACGAACAAGACGTAGAAGCACGGCTGATACTGCTTAGCTTGTCTAACAGATTACAGCACAAATGTGCATTTTAAATGTCTGACTGACCACCCGCTCGTCAGTTTTCGTTACTGTGATGAAAAAAAGGAGCGTCAACGAAATAATTACAGCATTGTTGACAAAAAAACAAACAAAAAAACACTGTTCTCAATACTGTAAATAAATACAATTAGCATGAGGTGAATGTGTGACATTACGCAAACGACCTTCAAAATTATTTTTCAGAATGGTGAAAATAAGAGAGAACATGTTGTTTTATAGTTTATAGTTTTATGTTGGAACATCTATGTTCAGAAACAAACATTTGTTTGGTTTAAAACACCTATAAATGTTTTTTGAATCATTATATAGGCTTGAAACTAGACATTCTAACTATGTTGGGATTTCTCTCTGTTAACATAACAAATTGTCATGTTTAAAATTTGCTAATTTTACAGTTGGATTAAAGAAATTTGAAAAAAAAAAAACGTTCCCAAATTTTCATTCTTATAAGACTATTTGACACGTGAAGACTTCTTCATTTAATCACATTAATAAGAGCAAAAAATATTTTTAAAAATTTTTAAAACATCTTTTAAATTTGATTTTGCTTTTTTTTTTCAATTTGACTATATTGGTGTATTTAAATGATGTTTGGTCACTAAAGTGTTGAACTCTAAAGAAAATCTCTTTGTTCCTTTCTTTTTTCTGAAGAAGAGGAAGGTGGAACCGCCTCAGCTATTCACGGTAAGAATTAGTCATAACCGATATTTATAATTAGTATTTGCCCCTTTTGAATTTAATAAATTTACTGAATAATTTTTATTCCTTCTTTCTCTAACAGCTTCTTCAGCTCAGGGTGTTGCATCTGCACTGACACCACTGCTGTTTTCATTGCTGCTGGCTTTCTGTTTCATGTGAGATAATGAAGACGCCTCATGGGCTAACATGAACTAAGAATCAAGTTCCTTTTAAAAACACAGCACAAAATCATCAGCAAAGTGGGAGATTTTACATTAGATCAGGTAGTCAAGAAATCTAAATGCAAATCTTACATATAATCGTATTATTTTTTAAGAAGGAAATCTGGGTTCAGCTGTTGTACAACAACAGAGCATTGTAATTATGTGTTGGTTATGCTTTTGGTCTCATGTTTGTGTATTTATAAAAAAAGTCACAGCTTTTATCATTAGAAAATGTTGTTCTGCTTAGGGTTGTTTTGCTGGGAATAACAACAAAAAGGTTTTAACTCCTCTGTATAATATTTTGACTGAACAAACTTGTTTTGGACACAATGTTGGTGGAAAGTTTTACTTTCCTTCTTCCTGTTTGTCAAGACAAATGTGTATGTAGATAATAAGAATCGATAAGCAAGCAAAAACGTTTCTGTTGCAGTTATTTTTTCAAAAATATAAATGTAACAAAAAAAAAACAACGCTGGAATCTTAGGAATAACACTGATTTGTGAACACATAACATAGAGTATTTTATTAAAAAATAACATAAACTTAACTCATTTGATTTCAAATGAAGTCACAACGTCTTTTCTTACCAGCAGCTCATATCAAAGATACATTTTGTAGATTAGTCGTTGGTCAGAAACATGAATAATTTTTGATAAAAATTAGATTATATTTATATGGATTCAATTAAAGGATAACATCTTTTGGTGTCTTTATCAGGGGCTGCAGCACTTAAAAATGCAATCTGGAGAGACAATATCAGGGACTTGGTTGAGTCATACATATAGAAGACATATGTAAATATAAACGAGGCAAATAAGCATTTCAGAGATATCAAACAGAAGGTCGTGGCTGTAGAGGTTTAGGCTGCACACTGACACCTGAAATATGAGCATCATCCTGCAGAAAAGCCACCTCTTCAGATACTTAAAAGGAAAATCGTGAATATGCCTTTGCATACAAAGATAAGTGTAACAGATTTCTCAAAGTTAAGCAGTCCAATTACAAGCTTTAAATGTCAGTGTGTTTTAATTAGGTCATATTTAACCATATTTCACTTTAACCGAAAAAACTCTTCACCTCAAGTCACTGAAAACTCAACAACAGTGTCCATATCAGGTTTTATCACTCATTTGCCATAGATGTTTGCTTCTAATTTCCATTCAACTCTTACTTCAGAATATTAGGATGGGTAATGAATGCTCTTATTTCCTGCATCTTATACTCCAACAACTCAAACATCGTTTAAAAGAATAACTTAACCATATTTTTATCAGTAGAAATAAATACTTCCTCTTGCCGTTGGGTGCAGTTATTTGAGAGCTGTTCTAGCAGAGTTTAAGATTCTCAGCGGCAGCACATCCTCCACCCATTCACTGGGAGAAGCCATCATGCGGTCCCACAGCGCCACCTCATAGGGACCAGAATCCATCCATTCCACCAATGCTCCATAGCTCCTTCCTGCACAGAGAGATAGAAACATCCAGTAACGAGAAACTATTGCAGACTTTTTCTCTACTAAAATCTGGATTCAGACACTGGTGTATCCATTTTAAGGCTTCACTTGTGTCATATAATGCAATAAATGTCTTTCTTTTGTGGGTAGCACGTCCATTCATTAAATATTTTTTTTTTTTGCAAGATAATTCAAACCTTCAGATAATTCAAAACTTCAGACCTTTATCATGGGCCTTAATGAAAGGTGAAAGGTTATTCATATTTCTAGTGGTGCCCAGTTAGTAAAAGTGATTAAATTTAGTGTTTTAATATTCTATTTACTAAAATGTGTAAAATTATCAAAGTATGTCAGGAAAAAATACAAGTAATGTGTAAGGTACTGGCAACCTGTCCAGGGTGTACACCGCCTCTCGCCCGTAGAGAGCTGGAGATAGGCACCAGCACCCCTCGCGACCCCACTTGGGATTAAGCGTGTCAGAAAATGGATGGATGTGTAAGGTATTATAAATATGAGCAAGACCAACATGCACCAGGACCGTAATGACCGAAAGGACCGAAAGGACAGGATTGCTGGATGGATGGATGGATGGATGGATGGATGGATGGATGGATGGATGGATGGATGGATGGATGGATGGATGGATGGATGGATGGATGGATGGTATTCTAAATATGTTGCAAATTGACTATCAAACAGATAGAATGACTATGTTCAAGATAAAAAAAAATCAAAGGCAAAAATGAACAGAGTGATGAAAAATTGTTACAAGACAGAAGTTTAAGATGGCACAGATATATTCATGGAGAGCAAAATAAAAAGAGGAAAATAAGACACAAAAACAAATCATGAGCTCAGCCCAAGGTACAGAAATTCACGTATCATATTTCTGATCATTCTGCCTGTTTTCTATATAGTTTAATAGTAAAAATCAAGCAAAATGGAATATTACATTTGTAAAAAAAAAAAAAGAAATATTTTCATTTAGCTTGCTGAAACACAGCCAGTTAATAAAAAGCCTATTTTAAAGAGAAAACCTAAAAAAGGATGACAGATTTCTCACTAAACATTTCTATAAGAAAGTGACTCATGATATTTTACTCTGTAAAACTATTTGGACCTTCTTCTGAAAGCAGTTACCAGCAGGTTGCATAGGACAGTCTTACATTTCGTTTAAGTTGTATGAGAATGAATTGTTTCACAGGATGTGTAAATTAAGTAACGCTAAAAATATATTTAGTGGTTTTAAAATATTTTTTTGTTATATTCTAAATAAAGATGATTCATGGGCAAAATATTGGTAAATTATTAGTTGAAATAAATATATTTTTTCACTAAAATAAATGCATTTATTGGAAAACAATATATGTTACATTAAAATGTTTTGATAAATTAATTTCTATTATACTGTCATTGTATTTATACTTTCCATTTCAGGAGTTAAAGGTAATGTTTTGTAAAAAAAAAAAAAAAAATGATCAAGACTTTGGCAAATAATTGGCCTTGGTCTTAAGGAATTACCTTTAGTTATTTAGACTTTAACCTAATCCTTTAAACTACATGCATCCATCCTTTCTATCAGCTTCTAAGTGTATTTATGCTTAACTTGAGCAGGTAAATAAAATGATTTGACAATGGAATGAGCATTTTTACTCTTAAAATAAGATAATCAGATAATGCACTTGAAATAAGACAATGCAATTCTTTTTTTCTTATTCTAAATATAAATTGTCTTGTTCCTTTGGCAAAGTGTCTCACTTACCTCCTCAATTCAAGAACAAATGCACTTATTTATTTTTATGACTTATTTAGATTTAAATTTTTTACAGTGTGGGGTACCTGGAGAGAACCAGTGCATAACCTTCTTATTGAAAGGTTACCAACTGTGCCACCATGGAACCTTCTGTTTAACTGACCGAGAATTTTACCTATTAATTAAATAGAAAAACATTTTAAGCTTAAGATATGAAGTAGGGTTGTGCTTATATGTAACCTAACTTATTTAAAGTTAGATTTTTTTATGGCACTTTGCTGATGTTAGAATAAGAACTAAACTTAATTCTTCTTCTTAAGCTGAATTCATGAAAAAAGATACTTAAAATGCATTTTAGCACAAACAAACTTTTAGCCGGAAGATAACTAGCATAGATTAGATAATCAACAAAAGGAGGACAAATTTGACAAATTTTTCTTTACTTCAAGAAAAACACAAATTTCATCTGCTGGGGATTATCAACCTGACACTTATTTAATCCTATTAATTTCAATTTACCTCATTTATAAGTTAAAACTGTGGAGTATGCTGCCCTAACCAATACCTAAACTGCACAGCAAATAGTAAAGAGTGAAGCAGCCAATGATAATAAGAAAAACCTTGAAAAGCCTTTTGAAGCCTGAACATCCACTGATCATGACATCTTGAAATACACTTAAAAAATGATGATGCTACAGTCTAATGTGATTGTGGAATCACACTGTGAAATCTGACAGCTGCTATAGAAAGTTCCTCCATCGTTACCTGTTCCTGATCCGAGCCTAAGCCCCCCCAGCAGGTTGCTTGCGAGCCGGTCTCTGTCCCATACAGTGAGCTCCACACAAGCCTCCATAAGATCCGCCTCACTGATGCCATCATAGACCATGGTGTGGTTAAAGACCGGCTCTGCAGTTCTCCGCAGAACACGGGTCTTCTGCCGGCTTTTTCTGCTTGTGTCCGGCAGCACAAAACTTGAAATTAAGAAGAAGCAAAAGTATATTGTGACATCAGGCGTAAAATGTTGATCATATTTTAGATACATTTTCTGTTACATACCATTTAACGTAAGGATCAATCGTGGCTCTGATTAAAGGCAAGTTTTTACATTCTTTTACCCAAATGTGAATCTCTCCAGTGCTGGAAACTTCTTTTGCCGAACCTTTAAACAAAGCAAAATCTGTTTACGAAGCTGAGATCACACACAAAAAATCTTGGAGAGTGTCAATGACTTGCAAAAATATAACACAATATAAATCCACGGTTAAATTATTTCTAATTATCCTTTTTCACATTCTAAACAAAATGTCCTCTATTGGGAGTCTCCATTATGAACTAAAACAAAACAAGTAATACCAGGTTTAAAATATTGTTGAACAAAAAAATCTGAAAAATGTGACTTTTCTCTTTGCCTGAGTCAAAACATCTTAGAACCAACTTACTGTTACTGTTAAATGACTGTCCTACTATAGGCATTTCTGACTATCTATGTGGAAAAATGCACCACAATAATATTTAGCATTATAGTTGTTAAAATTTGGATATTTATTTTCATTAGTTTATGGCTTAGAACCTCATCTTTCTTTCCCTGCGTCTCTCAAACAGTCAGTGTCACCAAATCCTATCATATTAATGTGTGGAATTGATCCTTTTTGATCCCCTTAACTCTTTCGCTGTGATCTTTGTAGATCACGCGCAACATATCCACTTCTTGCACGTGTACTTGGAATCTTTGCAGATAATAATTTGCAACACATGATGGTAGAAAAATGGGATATTATCCCACAGCAGTGTGTACTCAAGCTGGTGACCAGCATGAAAATAAAGGAATAGAGGGTTAAGACTGTGTTCCATTCTCCCAAACACTACTGAGGCCAACTTCTGTTAAAATATACACTAATTTAATTGTCAGTGTTCCTTTTTTTTAAATTCTGATAATCCAACCCAATAAACAAAACTAAACAAGTGACAAAATATAGAATGTCTTAATGTCTGTGTTTGTTTCTTTCCAAGTTATGTAAAATGGACAAAAGACTTAACAATGCCTTCTCTTTTCCCTGCTGGCCTTTATGATGGCACTCTTTCATACACTTTTTTTTAAATACATGATTAATTAAAAATAAACAAATAAAAACAACAGATTATGTGTTAGGGTTTCTGTTTGTGGGAGATGTTTTGTGTTTTCTTTTAGTGTCTCCATCTATACACTAGATGGTGCCCTTTTTCCCCTGTTGGCCTGGAGGGCCTTTTCCTGGTTACCACCCACACCTGCGGCTTGTTTGATCATTACCAGAGGAGTATATGAGCAGCGGACTGTCACCACCTTGAGGCCAGAGTGTTTGCCAGTATTGGGATTATTTCCTGATCAACTGTATAAACCTGGTCCTTCAAGCCTTGAAAGGAATCTATGCGTCTCTCTGAGACTAAGGAAAACATCCACCACTTCAGTTTGCAGTCCACTTCAGGAAAACTCACTGACAGTTTGCTCCTCTGGACCTCTACAAGTCTGCCTGTCCGCCCTCCAGAAAGTTATCTCCTTATCTGATTCATCCCCACAAACAGGAACCAAGGAGCTACCACAAGTCATCTACTAGTTTCCGGTTCCGGTTCACCTGACCGCTGGATATTACCCAATCCTAGAATCCTTGGTTTATGTCCCTCTGATTGTCATTATCTCAATAAACTGTTAAACGTTTCCCCTGCCTCTGAGTTGTATTTGCATGTGGGCAAAATATTTGAAACCCATCATGACAGGATGACTGTTAGCAGACCTTCACTGTGGGTGACTTGTGGCAAATAGCGTATCGCAAGTCTCATCTCTCCTCGCCCATTCAATGGTGCAGCAGAAGGTAGTGTCTGAAAAAGAGGAAACGTGATATCAGCAGCAAGTAAGACTGATGGAGATGGATACACCCTGGACAAAAAGGTAAACCTCTGTTATTTGATGGGAAAACAAGTAGGGCAGCTTTTGTATGACTGTGTTTGTCTGTGTGTGTTTACCCTAGCCTTCAGCGCTAAGTAATTCATCTGGGTGTGGTCAAAGTCCCACTTGGAGAGGTCCACATCCACCTCACCCAGGAAGCTGTTCTTGCCAAAGGTGTCGTGATGCCAGACAGAGAGAATGAGCGTCTGGGTTCGGAGGTACTCCATGCGAACACGATACTGTAAGGACAGAAGATTTTGTTTTCAGCTGGCAGAGTATTAGTGTGGGAAAAACCTCTGGGTCTGAATCCACGTTCTTACCCGGAGAATCTCATTGAATGTAGGGTTTAGTGTTTTTTTCTTTACTGATGTTTTCCTCTTTCCAAGATTGGATTTGTCAGGAACCAGGTAACTTTTGACATACCTTAAATAAAAAAACAGAAATTATTATGTATTTATTTATTTATTGGGGGCATTTTTTTCAAAGAGACATCAAAAGAATCTTCGACAAGATTGTTTTTATTAATCTAATTTCTAAAGTTTGCAAACATTTTAATGCAAAAAACAATTTTTCAACTAGAATAAAGAAAATCTAGGCTACAAATTGGCATTATCTTATCTAAATTATTTCCTTTCTTAGAGTTAGTTTTATCTCTTTAACAAGGTTTTCCTTAATTAAGGCTTGTGTTGTTGAATTTAGTGAGATGACAACAAATTGTCAGATTTCCAAATAATATATTAAAGTTAAATAATATGAATATTTCAATCAAGTATTAGTTAATTATGAAGTATTTCTTTAACAGTTTAGGCACTCTGTTGTTCCATCATATCTAAATCCATTCTACTGTTTATAAATTGTTGGTACTGTTCATGTTATAACACAGTTCTAACAAAAAAATGATTAGAAGGAGGAAGTTTTGAACTGACGGATCAGAGCGGTTCCTCTTTGGGTCCACGGCAGCCAGGTCGCGGCACTCAGCTACAAAGATGTGAAACTCCCGGAGCCTTTGGACGTAGTTGATGGAAAACTGGATGGTTCCCTGAACCTCCACAAAATCTCCACTGTACATGGTCATCACACTTCCGCTCAGCTGAGATAACAGAAACAAAACCATTACACGACAAAGATAGAATTATAGCTTGATCAATCAGGTTGTGTACGCATCAACGACTGAAGTTGTGTAAACACAGGTTTTGGCATGCAGGACGATTGCCCAGTTGTCCTTTGTATTTATCACTTTTACCATCTTTGTTTCTACTAAAAATGTAGGACTGCTGCAATCAACAGCTAAAATTATAGATGATGAAGTTGGTTGTTCTTTTCAGTGCGTAGTCCTGTTTCTCTCCTAGAGCTACGGGCTCAGCTTTTACTGTTACTAACTGTATGATCTCTCTTTTATCCCTTTTGACATGAAAACCAACTCATAGCTAATCTGCTTAAGTGTCTCTTTCCTAGACAGAGCCAGCCGTGGAGCTAGTTTACCGCTATATCTTCCAACTTTGAAAGTATTTATAAATCAGTGCTTCTATCTTCCTCTTGTATGTCTGCTTCCCTCTCCTTGAAAGCCCAGTCGACCTCGGCAGATGGCCGTTCATACTAAGTCTGGTTCTGCTTGAGGTTTCTTCCTCTCCACTGTCACTGTATACATGTTGGGTGTGAGGGATTGCAGTGGAGTTAACAACACAATGCAAACAAACTACTGTCGCTACATGCTCAATCGGGAGGAGCCAATCCAAAGTGCAAAATGCAAAGTCAATGACTTGATGCAATCAGCTTAGATAGAAAAACTTTGAACCAATCTGACTGTAGGAATCAACTGAACTGTCTCTGTAAAGTGAGATGACATACTGTATGTTGTGAACTGGCGCTATATAATAATAATTACATTGAAGTGAATTTCTCTATAACCAAAAGAAAGCCTTTAAAAAAGCATTATTCATCAAGTGTTACATGTATCACGTGATTGTGTTGTTTAGGTTTAAAAAGATAGGAAATTGTCAAACTGCCACTGGAAAAAAAAAAATGTACTTGATCCATTTCCTGTTTGTTAAAACATGTCTGTGGCCTAATGAAGGAAAAGGACAGAGCAAAAGATGGAGTACATGTTGTAGCACAAAGAAACAAAACCCTGAAGCACAAGAAAACAAAACATTCCTGATTTCTAGCAAAGATTATTTTTTAAGCCATGAAGAGAAAACAGCAAACATGTGAGAAAAGGTGATCCAGATGGATAAAACTAAAGATGAACATTCAGCTTATAAGGCAGTGAAGCTACAACCTGAACACCCAGGTTCAAGATTGATCCTACCTCAAAAATACTCCTGCTAGGTTTTAGTAAACAGGTGGTAGCAGCAGACATTTTAAAAGGAAGTTCTGACCAAGCAAGCTTCTACAATGGAGGAGTTATAGAAGGGATGGTTTACAGGAGCAGTGATTACTCAGGATGTTAATACATCAGCTGTCCATGCAGTTGTGTGTTAACGTACAGAAGACACAGACGTCATGCCAGAGGAGCTGCTCAGAAGAGTCCCTGAGCTGCCAGCTGTTAGTCTGTCCAGAGGGCTACTACGCTCAAAGGAGTCAGAGTCAGTGCTATGGTCCTGAAACACAGACAGTATGCAAAGAAAGCTCTGTGCACTTGGAGGCAATATGTGGTTTGTGCTTCTAGACTAAAGGTGGCGGGGAAAGTTTTACCTCCTTCTGTAAGAACGAGGGAACAGACTTGCTCATCTTCTTTAAGTGGTCCGGATCCGAAAAAGATGATGAGGAAGGCGAAGAGATGGCTGAAACTGTGGGGTCGTAATCCTTTAGTATATTTACAATATGTATGCCGATTATCCATGATGAAGAAGGACTGGTCTGCTTTTACCTTCACTGCTGCGCCACTGATCATCGGCTAGATCCGTTCTTCTGTCTTGCCCTTTCAAGAACAGAAAAACAATAATAACGGTGAACAGAGAATGATTTCTACTGAAACATTAAAAAGTTCAATAGTGTATGCCGTGCTCACGTGGTGCTGCAGACGCAGTGATGTCCTCCATGCTTTTAGCAAGATTTTTAGGCCGTGCCTCTGCTCGCCGCAGTGCCTTTCTCACTGGATTTTGCTCGTCTTCCTCATTCCCCCCTTCATTACAGAAGATAAGGCTATAATCACGATCAACAGCTCTGTTCTCATTTATAGAAGAACAATTAAACAGATGCTTAAATATAAACAAAATAATATGTAGATTATCATATAGCCAGTTCAATAAACCCCTTAATTATTTAAAGTGCTTTAATTAAAAAGGGAAAAATCCTTCATTAATGTCATAGCACAAAGCTGCATTATCAACGGTCCTGTCCAAATAGTTTTTGACCCAAATAAAATTTTAATTATTAGATTTAGGAACAATTAACAGCCTTTTTTTTATCTATATATCTAAAAAAGACAGTAACAAAATAATATAAAAATGTTTCAGATTTTAAATGAGCTTGTAAACTGCTTTAACATTAACTAATTAAAATCCAGCAGAAATCTCTGGTATTTAACATTTGCATTATGTTTTTCATAAAATATAGATTATCTGCCTAGAGGTAATATGCATATTTTGCTCCATAAAAATAAAATCCCCCACGTTATCACCCAGAAGTGAAGTACTAGGAGTTTGGCTAAGGAGAGCTAAACATTTTAAACAATGTGTAAATGCATTTCACGATTTTTGAATTAGAGAATGGTGACATCTGTGTGCATCCAGCACAGCCAGGACCAGATACTGCCCGGCCCACATGCTAAACACAAGCTGACCACAAAGAAACATGCTCTGTTTACAAAGGTTTTTAACTCTGCAAACCCTGGTTACCACACAGGTATAATGTCAAGGATACTGTTGGATCTGTTTATGTATGAAACGCTGCATAGCACCATAAAAATGACTTTGTTTACTCTTAAAGATTTATTTTCACATATTACTAGTACATTCTTTAACATAAAAAAACATTCTAACTTGAATTGCTTTCTGGGGATTTGTTCTTACTTAAAAGGAATAGGGAGAATATTTTTTTCAAGACTAAAGTTTTCTGTATATATAATGTGCTGTTCTATATATAAGGTCTATGAAATAAAACTTTACATTTTCAACATTTTTACATTTTTTAAGTGTGCATAAATGTAATGTTTATTGGTTGGAGAAGCATTAGTCAATAGTGAACCTACTGTTCTGAAATGTTTGAGATGGGAAAAATAGCTAAATGTAAACATGTACATGTAAATGTAAGCAGCTTTGAGCAAGAATAAACAGAAACTCAAATAGAGATACTGAGGATGATTTTTCCCCTCATGAAGGAAGACCTTTAAAAAATCTTTACCCGCAAAACAACAATCAGATTAGCTTACATCTCTCCTGTATTTAATGTAATCAGTCTCAGCCTCTGAAAGCTTATTGCTCTCTGCCAAAGATGCATGTGATTTGCACACAGACAGCATCACGTGTTTCAGTAAGTGGTCATATGGTTCCTTAATTTTTTTTTTTCTCTGAACTCAAAGAAGTCAGGCTAAGATTAGTGGGAGAATAAAATTGTTATCATTCCACAGAAACAGTGTATTCTGAGCTGCTTTCATGGAAAGATGAAAAATGGATAATATCACTCAGAAAATGACAATGAAACATGTAAAAATAAAGAGCCAATTGCAGAGAACCTAAGGTGACAAAAAGAAGAAATGTGTAAATTTTTAAAACATCAGTTTGTTTCTTTACCAGTTCCCAGCTATAGTTGGATGTGGTTAAATCCTTTAAGTGAATTTTTTCTTCCGCTTTAGACTCCTTTTCTCTAATGATCTGCTCAGTTCCTGCATGTGTAGCTACCCAGTATGGCAAACCAGTGGCTTGTGCTTTAAAAAAAAAAAGCAAAGCAGGTAGGACAAATTTTAAACTTTGGATAGGGACAGACTGCATTAGATTTTCGTTTTTTCTCTGTCTTTAAAAAAAGGGGAAAGAAACGGGCCCAAGGGAAGCACAATGCTTAGGTTAATAATTTACTTTGTGTGCTTTGTGCCTGAGTAATGTGGGTACTTGATGAGCAAGAACCTGAATAAAGAACAGAATGCTTAATGAATTATTAACGGTCAAATAAAAGATTATATTTAATTGTGTTTTATAATACATATACATTGTAGCATAATGGCTCATCTTATAAAAATAAAATTTCACTGTACCCTTTATGTAACAGAAGAAAACAGATACAGACACAGAGAACTGAAGTTATTAGGATTAATATTTGTCAGTAGACTCAGATAAAGGGAATATTTTAAATATCAAAATTTGTTCAATGAACATGATAAACTACTTTTTTTTATCCTAACAGTTTATGATAACAATACCCAAGTTGAAGGGTTTTGTTTTTTTCTTGTTGTTTAACTGACCTTAAATCAAACAAATTTTGTTGTTGAACTTGTTACGCCAGATAATATTTTTGAAAAAAAAAAAACAACATTAGATTTTTCTTCATAGTGCATGAAATTGCAACCATTCCCCAGCTGTTCTTATCTGATGCTCAAATGATTTCAATTCAGCAACACATTTATACAAAACTGATGTAATTTATATAAATCAGAGTTAAAGGTATATATTTTGACCGTCACTCATTTTGCTTTTGCAGCGTTTTTGCATAAGGGTTGTGTAAAAAATTTTATTTTTCTATGTAAACCTTTAGTGTTTAAGTTTTATCCTCAGTTTAACTGTTTTGACTGTTTTTACATATAATATGGAATTTCAATATAACACTAAAGGCATTTAAATAAAGTTCTTTCATGTTGTTCATATAAAAAACAGGGATTTCAGATACACGGCTCCCACAGAGGAACCTAAATCCCTACTGTTAGAAATCCTTGAACTAAAAAAAATCTTGTATTTTATAGAAGCCAGTACCTACTAGCCTCTTTCCTAAATTAATTGTACTTTGCACTTTAGCAGTTTGCACTTTTTTTTTGGAAACTTTGCTTAATGCTTTACTCAGTTATGACTGAATATTTAGAAAGGGATCATGGTTGAATGGACTTTGTTTTGCAGTCATGAAGCTTTTCAAGAAACAGCTAAATATCCTGCATGGATAAACCCAGCCTTTATATCCAACATCCCAAAAACCAAGTAATGCAAAGCTTAGATTAATCTAAAGGGTAATGCCATTTGGAATACATGTGAGAAAATCTAAAATGACTTCTTACGATTTGAACCGTTCCTGGCGTTTGACCACGTTTCTGATGTGCTGCTGACCGAAGACTCTGGGCCCGTGTCTGAGCTGCTGTGGTTTGCCCACACTGGCCGCTGGCTTGGCTTGTTTGTCTTCCTGGCATGGCGCTCCTCTGAGGCTATCGGAGTGCTGGCTCTTACTGGTCCGCTCAGATCAAGACCGTACGCAGACTTGACGTCTGGGCCCTCATTGTTTAATGCTGGTGCGAGCGTGGTGTGAACGCTGGTCTTGTCAGTCATTCCCAGATAGTGTCGGTAGTCTGTTGGAACAAACGCCCGCGCTCGAGGAATCACAAACTCTGGTTCCAGCTGCTTGTGCTTTCTGCTCTGAGACCGCAAGGGGCTTATGTCTATTCTAAGTTTGTTTGGATCTTTTTCTTCCTCTACACTCAGTGCAAACATGCTTGTTGCCCGGCGCAGAGAACTTCCACGACTGCTGGAAATGCTGAAGCTATCTTTTCTGATTTTTGGAGATCGAATCTCTTTAGATGCACTGCTTTGTAGCTTTGTGGACTTCTCTTCTCTACTGAAGTCCTTTGTGCTCCTTTTAGTCTGTTTCAGCTGCCCTGACTCAGTCGACTGGTAAAGAGGCAAGTTACTTTTGTTGTCACTCTGTAACTTTGAACCAGATCCTGTCTGTTTATCGTGTGAAGACTTTGACCGGCTCTGAGGAGAAGGAGACGACATCATGATGGCTCCTCTTGTTTTCTCATGAGTAGGATTTATGCGACAAATCTCTGGATCTGAGAACTTTAACTCCTGGGATGAAAGCTGAGCACGGAGGGGCTCTTTCTTTTTGGGGCTTTTGGGTTTATCAAAGGTTAACGACACCCTGGAGTCAGAGGTAGCCTCATCCCAGAAATCCCGTAAAAAGTTAAACTGGGCGCGACTGGTTCCAAGACTTGGATTCATCTTATCTAACCTCTGATTCAAAGGTAGGTCGTTCTTGTTACTGCCATCTTCGTCGCTTCCTGAATCGTTTCCAATTGATCTCAAATCAAACTCTGACTTTGTGAATCTTTTAGTCAGTTTTCCCTGATTTCCTCTGCGAGAGACTTTTCCCTCTCCGGGAGTTTTAGGTTTACCAGTGTAAAATATTGGCTTATTAAGCTCTTGCTCCCAGAAGGATTTCAGCTGCTTTATTCTCTCTGCTGTGCTTTCTTGGTGTTGTGACGGCTGCCTATTTGAATATGAACTGCTGGTTCTGTCCTTGTTAGCTGCATCTTCTTTTCTTTTGGGGGACAAGCCTGAGTGCAAATTTCTATCCTCAATATCTCTGCTCTTCACATCATCATCCAAATCTTGGTAAAGTTTGGCTTTTGTTGTGAGGTTCTCTTCACTCTCATCCATGAATAAACCATTTCTGGACAAACCCAGCTTTTCTGCATCAAAGCCAATCCTTACTGGGGGTTCTGCATTCAGCTGAGAGGTAGGGGCGGTCTTTGAAAAAGGGTCTTGAAGTAAAGTTTCTTTAGATCCTGAAATTCTGTCGGCTTGTAGCTTTGATTTGAGCACAGGTTCATTCTGAAACTCTGGATCTATAACTGCCCTCTCTGTTGCGTTTATTCTAGTTATACATAAAGCTTCCCCATCCAAAGCTCTTCTATTGGCAGTTTGAAGACTGGATGATAACTTTGAATGAGATGAGTTGTTTTTGTATTTTTCTTGTGGCTCCGAGGTAACATGGTCTGCCGTTAGTATTTTGTGGCTGTTCACTGGCTGTTGATCTCTTTCTTCACTTGGATTTAGGGTGCACTTATTATACATCTCACGTTCACTGTACTTTCCCGGAACAAAGTGTATATTAGACTCTTTATTTGCAAAAACCTCTGCAGGGTTTACTTCTGCTTTTTCACAAGGTGTCACAGTTTGGCTGATAAGTACCTTAGGGCCTGAGTTGCTTTTTTCCCAAAAGGATTTTAAATGAGAAATGTTCATTGTTTGGCTTTCATCACAAACATCTCTAATGTTGTGATAATCAAGATCTTGATTATCAAACATATCATTGCTTCCTTTTCTGTTGTCTTCAGTGGTGTTTATATGCAATGGGTTCCGTTTCATTTCAGAGCTATCCCCCTCTCGTTCACCTTTTTGAAACAACTCTTCCTCTCCTGATTTTTTCACAGATATTTTTTTATCAAATCTCTTGGTGGACTTTTGAGTGTCTTTGGAGTTCAGCCAGTCGTTGCTGTCAGTGCTGCGGTTGAACCAGTCAAGGACCTTTGCGATGGAGTCTTCCTCTTCACCAGTGGGGCTCGCTGTCTGGGCGGACAATTTGAAATTGTTTATCTGATTAGACTTCTGAGCTTGCTGGCTGGATGTGTCAATGAAGTGGAGATTGTACAACAAAGGAGGGACTGGATCTGACAAAGGAAAAAGCAAAAAGCACAAATAATCAAAGACATTTCTATATTTCATTTCTATATTTCTTCTTTTATCCTTAGGCCTTTAAATCATTCAACACTATGCAGTGTGCCTATGGCTTTCACATATTTTTATTTTCTTTCAAAAAAAGAGGGTGGGAAACAATACTGGTTCATGGTTTTAACATGAATCATGTCAGGAACTGATGCATCAAGTCACTTTCTTCTGTAGCCATTTCTTGGCTATGTATATTGAAAGGGGCTTTTCATTGTCTCACTAAAAAATGCATGTAAAATCTGCCCAGATGGCACAATATGTTGCTCTAAAATATTTAAGTATCTTTCTCTCATGTTCCCATCGCCAAAGCCTAAATCACCCGGATAGTCCTTTTTATCTCTCACTCATAGCACATGGTATCAATTTTCCTCCAAATGCAATTAAAGCTCAAAAAGCCGAAATGCACTAAAGACTTGTCTGTCTCATAATAAACCCAACCAATAGTCTATCCATAAATTCATTAGGTAACAGAATAATGACTGCTATTTTGAGTGCAATTTGTTTGCATACCAAAAAATTATTAATTATAATTTTTGACACCTGCTGGAATTTCAGGCCTTCAGTAGTTTCAGCTTTTATCTTTAAATATTCTGTAGGAAATGCATGGAGAAATAGATACTATGATTTAAATCAATGTATCTCACCGGACATGTATTATGCTGTCATAAATGAGTCATTCATGCTGAAAGAAAATAGGTAACTTTTGAGACACTTATGTCTCTTGATGTGTTACACCTTAAAATGTATTCACAATTTTTATTTGCTTAAGTTTGATCATGTTCATTCAGTTGGAAAATATCACATTGCAAAAATGTTATTGTGTTTATCTGGGGAATGAAAAAGCGATAGACATGGGCAGATTTTGTGATGGATCCAAAACGCTGCTGCCTGTGTTCTCACTAGAACTAAGACAGTAGAACACATCAGCCTGGTTCTTAGGTACTTCCACTGGCTAAGAGAATAGAGTATAAATTCCTTCTGTTAATCCAGTGTTTCCCAACCTTTTTTGACATTTGTACCCCTTTGTAAATTTTGTCTTACCATGAGTACATTTTCAGTCAAAAGTATTAATGATTTTCCCAAAGTGGAATGTACAATAACTGGTTATAAAATAAAAACTATTTTATAAATCCTTTAATTTGAGCATTTAATTCTTAGGCATTTAATTCTTTCCACCACAAATAAAAAAACAAAATTAATATGTTCCCAGGAAGTTAGTAAGGAATCAAAATAAATGCAAAAATAAATTAACTTTATAAACCTGTATCTATAAATCTAGAGCTCCTCTGAGTAACTCCCTTATAATCCCAATTAAACTTGATGAATTGCCCTGAGATGGACTGGCAACCTGTCCAGGGTGTACTTCGCCTCTCACCCATAGACAGCTGGAGATAGGCACCAGCACCCCTCACGACCCCGCTTGGGATAAGCATGGCAGAAAAATGAATGCTTGAATTGGGAACAAAAATTATAGTCAGATTGACTTAATTAGTTTTCATCAAGACACCTGAGCTGCTTTGATGAGCTTCAAAAGCTCAGTGTGAAAAACAGTTGATACGAGGTTGTTCTCTATATCCAGTCTGTTCCGCAGCTTGGTCTGGATGTATGTCAAATCTGAAGGTGAACTCAAACAAAAACAAAGAAAAACTCACTTTTTGGTTAATAAAAGCTTGTTTCATTTTTCAATTTAGTCCTCAGAAAGAAAAACAGATCCCAGCCCTATTTTAGTTTCTTACCTAAGAAATAAAATATTTCTATGAAACCCTTGCAATGCACTTGCAGACCCCTAGAGGTACGAGTACCCCTGGTTGGGAATCACTGGTCTATAAATCACTGAATGGATTTGCACCTCAATACATAACAGATTTATTTTCACCTAGACCACTCAGGTCTTCTATTTCCAGTCTACTCTACACCCAGAACTAGAACCAAACATGGAGCATTTAGTTCCTAGGCACCACTTGTCAGGAGCAAACTGACAGAAGACTGTAAACGTGCTGAATGCCTGAGTTATTTTAATTCAAAGTTAAAAACCCATTTGCTTAGAGCTGCCTTTGACTGGTTAAGTTAACTCAACTCAATTTTGTCATAAAGCCCTTTAAACAACAACAGCTGCTACAAAGTTCTAGATGTCCCAATTCTTTGGCTATTATATGTTTATCATATACCTATCTTTTGTAACGCCCTGAATAAGTAGTTTATGTTATTAGCGTTCGTGGAAGAGTTAATCTCTGTTTTATGGTATTTTAATTTGTGGATTCTTCAGATCTTTTACCTTCAAGCCAGTTCTATTTAGGTGATTTTGTGATTTTACTGATAAAGCAGTAATCGGACCTAGGTGCATCAAAGACGTCTGAATTCAGCTTTTAAAAAAACAAAAAAGAATTCATTACTGTGCAAAGGGTGGTGATAACTGTTTGCTTTAGATCGCTTTTATGCCAAAATAAATGAAATCATCATTTATTCATTTTTTGATAGTTTTTTCTTTTATAAAAAAAAAAATCAAAAACAAACTGCATCTGTAAACAAGTAGATGCTTAAACCAGTGGGTTTTTTTATTTATTTTGATAGTTGGACCTCTTTCCTGCAGATTTAGAAGCTTCTCTGCTCCAACACACCTCCATCAAATTATTTTATTATCTCCACAGCAAGGACTTCAGAGTCCTATCAATCATCCATTTATTTAAGTCAGGTGTGTGGAGGTTGGGAAATACCTCAAACATGCAGGACAGTGGGCCATGCGGACTGACTTTGAAAACCACTGGCTTAAACAATATAGAAGTCAGGACAGCTTTAAATTTTAGATTATATTTACTGAAATTTAAAAATGCAGACCAAGGTCAGAAATTGGCAGTATAAACTATTAAACGGTAAACTAAATGTCACAAAAACATTAAATATCAAACATATGATAAATATCTTGAGTCACAGAAAACTGAATCATTTGTTAAAGGAGATAGAATCACAAAAACAATGATCTCATAACTAACAGTGAACTCACCTGTGTTTGCAGGTAAACTCATCTCCTCCTGTTGTCCTCCTGTTCCCAGGCTGCTGCTGGTGTCTCTGTCCTGAATGTTACTGCTTGACAAATGTGAAATGTTTACGACTGGATGGCTCCTTTGGTCGTCTTGTGTTCCAGCCCACTGTGTCATTTTGCTGTCAGAGGTCACATCAGTCCTGGTGTTTGCAGCGGTTCTGGAATAGGACATAGAGTTTTACCTTTAAATGTAGACTGATCTTATTAAATATATTTATGACAAATTTTTACTGACCGATCTCTTGTATTAGAAGCAACTCTCTGGTCTCTCTCCAGACTTGAGAAAGGATGAACCTGAGATGCAGCACACAGTGACTCCTGATTTCTATCTGCTGCTGTGGAGGTCTGAGTAGGATCTATCTCCTGAATATAAACACTTTCCTGAGGTTTTTCATCTGTAATCTTCAGGTCGGACTGGTTAGAGTTGCTGGATCCCTGCTGGCGCCTCCATCTTGGAGCAGGAACAATCCCAGCAGGCCTTACCTGAGCGTTTAAACCCTGCTGGTTGCTACTTTGTAACTGACTGCTGCTGCGTCTAGACAGGAATGTCCTCTTCTTTGGTATGGGCCTGAAACCTGTGGAGGAGCTTTCTGATGTGATGGAGCCCGCTGACGTCTGACTGGACCCCCCCGCCGGTTGATTCTTCTGAGAAGTGATCGCCTCTGGATGGAAACATGCAGTTAACATTTGGCTGTGACTTCCATTACAAATATGCTGCTATAAACATGAGCTCAGACCTGATTCCGGTGTGTGTTGTTCCAGAGCGCTGGTGATATCATGATTATTTTCAGGAGGTTCAACAACAGTTAGAGAGGCACGATTAAAGGGGTTGTGCCTGAGCTGGAAGGAAAAGGATGAATTGTTAGATTACAATAGCTGTGCCACAGGGAGAGAAAGGTAAAACAGAAATATGGCTTTACATTTGTAGCACAACTACCTACCATTCTGGGAGAACGAACTGCTGAATATTGATTTTCCTTTTCTGCGTCCCTACAAGAAGATCAATAATTTATTAAAAGGGGACATTCTTAGATGAAAGGCTGATTTTATAGTAAAACATGTAAAATATTATATGCAATAACTACATAATACCATTTTAAGACTCCATCTTTTAAAAACTTTAGACTTGCAGATTTTTCTAAAACTTTTTATAACACTTTTATTAAGAGATTGGCTTGGTTTATTCAACAGGTTTTGAAATGTAATAATGCTTAAGCTGGCCTTAAATTTAAGTGGTCTTACAAATCTATCACACAGAATGGAGTGGACAATCCTACACTCTGTTTCTGATCCGTGATTTCTCACTCATTGATATAACTCAGGTTGATGCTTTGCGGTGGTGTCAAAAGTACACACATTTGTTACTTAAGTAGAAGTATAGATACTGAAGTTTAAAAACACTCTGGTAAAAGTTGAAGTATCAACTTGACCTCTTTACTCAAGTAAAAATGTAAAAGTATGTGCTCCAAAAACTAATTAAAGTTTAAAAGTATAAAGTAATCTTTAAAAAAAAACAGCCAGATGCCACTAGATGAATTGAAAGCTCAATTTTTTGACTATTTCTAAAAATTCTTTTTCTGAATCCGACATTGTAGCATGGCATAGACAATTCATGTTTGTTTTGTTTCTGATGATTTCCTTTAGCTAACCAATGAGTGTTTGCATTCTATGACTCATCCCATCACACTAGTTTTCACTAGATGTGGATGGAGCCAATTATCTGCATTGGATTGAGCACATGACGGGAAATAAATATTTAGAAACATTAAACCGAAGCCAAGAGTAAAGAGTAACGTTTGTTTAAAAAATGTAAGGAATAGAAAGTAGAGATACTTGTGTGAAAATGTAAAGAGTAGAAGTCAGAAGTAGGAAGAAAAATAAGTAATGGAGTAAAGTATAGATACCTAAAAATTGTACTTAAGTACAGTAACAAAGTATTAGTACTTTGTTACTTGACACCTCTGATGCTTTGAAATCTAAAGGCATCTCAGAATGCAAGTCAAGTTAAGATATAATAACACTTCTAATGTAAGTTGGTTTTACAGCATAGGAAATAGCAGCACAAATAGAGGAGCCGCCCAATTTTTCATCATTAAGACGCCTCTAAGCAGTTTTGAATGTCATCTAAGGCTGTCAGGTCTCTAAAAGCTCCCTCCCTATACACAAACTTAACTGCTGGGATTCCATGGGAGAGACCAACACAAGAAATATAAAGCAGAAAAAATATAGTTTCCAAAATATTTTTACAAATTAAACTTTTTCACTGCAGCTTCAGGTGAAGATATTTTTGATTATGTCACTACCAGGATTACATATAAAAAGACTGAAACTTTACCTATTGTTGGGCCACCCTAACATTCAAATTGGCTTTGTTGTAAGCAACCTGATTGCAGCTCTGGCTGTATGTTTAAGGTTTCTGTTCTGCCGGTAGATAAACATTTTCAAGCCTCCAACAGGTTTCTTTCCAGGATGGACCAATATTTAGCTCTATCTATTTTCCCATCATCTGTGAGCAGATTGTCTGTCCTTGCAGATAGGAAAAACAAAAAAACCCCACAGCATAATACTGCTACCACCATATTTCTCAATGAGGCATTAGAGGGCTCATAGTACTTTTGTTTTTTGAATGAATTTCAGTCCATCACTAGTATAGAGCTATGGTTCTCTGCAGTTCCTAAGGAGTTACAGCGAAGAAAACACCCAAATATTTTTGCAGGTTCTCCCATTTAGGAATCATGGAAGGGTCTGAAATTGTCAGCCATTGGTGCATGTCAACTGCGAGAGACATAATCTAAAAAAAAAAAAATCCAGAAATCACAATATATGATTTTATATTTGTAGGATTGTATGAATGTATTATTTTTGTATTAGTATTTAGAGCTGCAAATAAGCATTTGAACAACTGAGAAAATCTTTGTTAATATTTAGTACAGTAGCCTTTGCTTGCAGTTTCAGAGGTAAAATGCTTCCTGCAGTTTTTCACCAGGTTTGCACACACTGCAGGAGGGATTTTGGCCCACTGCTCCACACAGATCTTCTCCAGATCAGTCAGTAGTTTAAGTTCCCTCGAAAAATTCTCTATTGGGTTTAGGTCTGGAGACTGGCTAGGCCAGGCCAGAACCTTGATATGCTTCTTCCAGAGCCACTCCTTGGTTTTCCTGGCTGTGTGTTTTGGGTCATTAGAGGCTGGGTCTTCATGTTGGAAGACCCAGCCTGGACCCATCTTCAATGCAGTGTAGTCTCCCTGTCCCATGTGCTGTAAAACACCCCAAAGCATGTTCAAATACTTATTTGCAGCTGTATCATACAAATAAATAGTTAAAAAAGCATATATTGTGATTTCTGGATTTTTTTGTCTTTGATTGTGTCTCTCACAGTGGACATGCACCTGCAAAAACAACCTCAAACCCCTCCATGATTCTTAAGTGGTTAAACTTGCAAAACATCAGGGTGTTCAGATACTTACTTACTAACTCACTTACTTTTCCTGACTGTACCAGTGCCTTTTGAACTGAAGCTCAAAGCCTTATAAAAATTCATGGGAAAAAAAATCTTCCTTCCTAATCTTCCTCCCACTTCATAATTATATTCCATTTTTGTCCATCAAAAAAATGTGTGATAGATTGAAGTTAATGGCTTTCAGATGACAAAACATGAAAAAGTTGTAGTTGTATGAAAACTATGCAAGGTATTGTATATCAGATAACTGTTTTTCTAATCCAATAAAATATTATATGAAGTGCAGTTACTCCAAACAAGAGAGAGATAAAGTAACCCCGGTACGATAAGATGGCAGGAAAGGAGTAGAATTTAATTAATATGACTGAATTTAAAACTCATGTGATGCCGTAATAAATTATAAAAGTACACAGTGGCTGTAGCCTTTGTCAGAATGCAAATACCTGACAAGGACTTAGAGAATTTACAGCCTTAAACAAAAGTTTAGAAGCCCAGCCAAATCAAATATGAACTTTGTTTCACAGACGTCTAATAAGAGTCTCAGTTGGGCTCAGACAAAATATGAGAAAATATGCATTTTTTTTGTTATTAATATTTTCAAAAAGTTTAATAGCAAGCCCATTTTGAAGAACTTAGTTTATGTGAAAAGTTTAATCCATTTCTAAGTATCATTTTGGAGTGCACTGTTAGTAGGTTATAAAGCAGACTGTTCCCAAGCAGCACCACCTATGTTTACATAAGCTGAGTCACAAGACTGCATGTCTGCACACTGACAGGATACCGACTCTTTAAAGGCAGAGTGAAATAACGTCTTTAAGATGCAAGAGAGTGTTTCTGAATCACAGAGAAATTTTAGGATTCTGAAACGTCATCATCAAAGCTGCTGATATAAGGAAAGGGGAACATTTCTAGAAGAAATGGATCAAACTGATGGTGTACTTTATCTCCTGCTGTAAGGATTCAAAGCATCTCGCAGGTTTCGGTGGAGGTGCTGTATCTGAGCCATGGCTGATGGGTGTCTTGGTTTTATCAACTCGAAGAGATCCGTCTGCAGAGAAACAGAGTTTACCATTTAAAACGATGTAGTTCGCACACAATTATGAGCTAAAGGCGTTTCTCTAGGATTAAAAATCATCAGTGAAATCTTTGTCAACGGCAAACAGAAAGGCCAACCTAAACTAGTTGCTCTTCCTTGCTTCATGGAGGCGAGGATGATCTCTGATCCATGGATTTTATCACTGTGTCTTTGAGACTTGGCCTCATAGAACCATTCCCCCGACAGGTACTTCAGCTTCACATCTGACTGAGATTCGCTTTCCAGAACTTGCTCCAGTTTTCTGTCAGAAAAAAAAAAACATTAAGCCGAGGAACCTTTTTTTTTTAGTTTTAATTCAATAGTGCTAGCTTTGGCCTCCACTGACAAAGTTTAAAGAAACTTATTAAAAGTGAAGATATGGAAGACACCAATCTTTTTTTTCCGTTTGCTACAGTAATAAGCAAAAAAAAAAAAAAACTGAAGGACGAAATGCTTTATACTGATGCTGTTTAATATTTAAATAAAAGAAATAAACAATTTTAAGATCATAAAAATTGGTATATTAAAGAAAACTGCACAAAACTACCATACAATGATTATTTTAAAATTATTTAGAATTACTTATTATATAAGTATTAAATGTACCTTACAAATTGTAATTAATCCAACACTAACTCAGCCACATGCTTCATTAAACTGCTAGTTTGAAGAGCAACTGAAACACCAGAAAATGGAAAAGCACTGAAATGTGTTACAAATTCAACTATCAACAAGTTATATGACAATATAACTAAACAGGCTAACAACACTAGCGTAGCTTAGCAGTTCAAAAATCTTCCTGAAAACCTTATGAAACTCCTGGTTACTTGTCATTTAAAACTGACTGAAAAGTGTGTTATTTTACTATAATTTAAAGTTATTATTTCTACAGGGTATACTATATATTTACCGTCAAAAGTATTAGCTTATTTGTCTCATAAAGTTAACCTAGAAAATATATTATGCTGTAGGTTTCAATATGAAGCTAATAAAAAGCTAAAACTAAAATGTCTTCCAAAAAGGTTTTTATGGGATTTTTTTTATTGTTATTCAGAAAGAAAAGTTGAAACTAATTAAGGTCAAGCCTGTATTTGCTGACAATCCTTTTTCTGACTAGTTCCTGATGTGCTGCTTTATGAAATCTTTAAACTTCATGTTTTCAGACAGGTTCTATTTAAATTATTGCTTTAACTCTACAGGTCGACAGAATCATCATTTGTTTACTCCATTTCATATGTATTCAGGTTATCTTCATTTGATATTAACCGATTGTTTGATGATGACAAAAAAAGGAAGTGGTAAATCATTTGCTCTGTGGATGTAAAGATAAAATAAGATTTATTTTTTTTTAATCCTGGTTTTGTTCTCTGTGATATTTTCTTCTGAATCTACTGTTTCCGTAACAATCTCCATTTGCAAGGTTATATAACATCTTCACATTAACGAACTCCAGAGAGTAAATTGGAAAACATCTCAGTCGAGTTAAAATGAAATCAATGCGGGATCAAAACAAATTCCTTCCTCGTAAAAAAAGAATAAAAAAAAAACACCATTCCAGCTCATCTTTACACTGGTTGGGGAATCACAGCCGTCATGTGAGAAAGGGGTAGCAAATTATTACAGGCCGTTGGTCTAATCCTTTAACAGTAGACTGGACAGGGCACAGCAAGCATTCAAGTAAACTCCAAATGAAATGCTCTTTGTTTTACCTCCAATCTCATTTTTAAATAAGGTCAAACTTTTTAAAAATCTGATGTATTTATTTGTTTTATTGTGCACATCTGCCGCTGATTTGGATTTGCTTCTTGGAGATTGATCCTTTAAATTCTCCTGCTGATCCCAAAGGAGATCAAGTAGACAAAAGCTGAAATATTTGCAATTTAAAACAAATAAGATTATTTAATCTTAAAGCTATCACATGGAGTCTTGGTTCCTCTTTGTTTGTCCTGTAACCTAACTAATCTAATTGCTGTGATCACATTTCGGTTTCTCAGCAGCGGAGGCAACGTCCAATCCCAGACAGCTGTTATTGTGTTATCGTATTAAGCAAAGACTCCCCTTCATAAGGTCTGGTGTTGGAGGGATTAGGCAAGCACTTATAAAAAGACATTAACTCAAATTCAGGAGATTAACTTTAATTTGGGTCTAGAACATTGGAGCCCATGTCAAATAATCAAGAGGGGGAAAAGTCTTGCAGGAAAGCAGATTGCTTAAAGATTTTTCAACCTTAGATTTATGCACCTGATTCTGTCCTCCTCAGCCCGCTTCAGCTCAGCGTCTCTCTTCAAAACCGTCATGATCATCTCCTGCTCCTCCTCCGTCAGGTGGCTAAGGTCGATCATGATTCTCTTCCTCTGGCTCTAACTCAGTGGATAGATGTGAAAACGCCCAAAGTCTCCTGGCTCTGTTGAACAAATACAACTGTTTACCTGGGAGGCTGTAGGAGGTTGTATTTGCACCAGTAACAATACAGTGAAAGAGACAGAGAGAGGAATAAAGCTCCTGAAGGAGGCTTCTCTTCTTAAACTTACACAAGCTGTATTTGCATGCATACATTGAAATTTTCAACAGTGAATGAGCAGCTTACAGCATTGAAATTAATATTTCCCTTCATAAAGTGCAGCAGTGATCCAAAGAATATGAAGCAAAATGAAGTAAGAGAGATTTGAGTTGAGTTCTGTTTAAAGTGATTTGAAAGCTTCGCCATGTAGTGCAAATAGGTTGTTTACAAGTGTGATGCAGTGTCCATTTGTGACTTGATTAGAGTTTTAACAGTTCAACAGTCTGATGGCAGTGGGGGGAAAAGCTGTTACAGAACCTGCAGGTCCTGCATCGAATGCTGCAAAGCCTCTTCCCAGAGAACAGGTCATTTTGAAAAGCCATTAAAAGTTATTTAGGGGTCTTATTGCAAACAGCAAGCTTTTATTTATTACTGATAGATGTTGGTATCTGGTTTTAATCTAGCAGCGAAGGCCAGGGTTATTAGGGCCCCACTTTCAGTAGCATGATTAAATGTTATTGACTTAAAATGACTATTTGCAGTGAGTGTAAATGCAGCACAAACTAAATTACAATTTATATAACATAGCTGGTTAATAAAGTATTTATTTCCACAGCTGGATTATTTACTATAATCCAGCTGTGGAAATAATACATAACTTCTCTAAGAACCACACCCCCCCCAAAAAAAATCTCTGATCAAATGCGTTTTGTGATGTCACCAGGGGCAACAGGTGAGTTTTGTTTTGGATTTCACCTTCAATATTCCAGATTTACAACAAAATAGTGCAACAAATCAAGATAAACTTGTTTTTTTTGTGTGGAAAAACTGCTTTACAGTCAGTTTGTTGATCTAAAAGGGAAGTCTGGCCTGCAGATCTCTTCATACACCTTAACGTCAGTTTATACTGAACACACATAACTACAATATGACATTTTGATATGTCCATTATGAATTAAAAATGTGACTACTTTCTACATTGAAGATACACAGAGAAAACTTTGAAACTAAATAAAATTGCTTTTTTTAGCAAATGAAATAGGGCTGCCTTTTTATGCTTTTTTTTCTCTCTTTTTTTCATCCTTTTGCATTCTCAAAATGTTCTCAATTATCTTATATGTTACCTGAAAGGAATTTTTTTAACAGTCTAGATGGAGTCAGTCATAAAACTAACTTGGAGGAAATATAAATGAATGACAAGGTAATGTGTAGATATATATATTTTGTGTGTGAAATAAAGTGAGCTTCTCTTTTTAAACCAGGGGGCTTCATGTGATAGATTTATTTGCGTATTTCTTCCACCAGGAAGCTTTAAAGTGCTTCCAACAGATAAAATGCTTTTGATAAAGACAGTAGATTATATCAAATGTCTTTAAATATCTCAAGCTGAACCACATCCTCACTAATTTTGTCAAGCAATCAAGCTTTTGACATAAAATCAAACTTAAAGGTATAGCGGAGGATTTTCGCTAATTTTTCATAAGACTCGCCCTCTCCACTTTAAAAAAAAAATGCACATGCACAACCCTGTACCCACTCCCGAGAGGGAACCCCTATTAAACGCGTGCAAGAGCATGCACGAGCCAATTTCACTTTGTGCACTGTATTTAAAAATTGCTGTTTGCATCGCTCATACAAGCTTCCAAAACAAGATTTGCAATTTGTCCACTATGTCAGACTCGTCACCGGTAAGTGAAAATGGGGAAGAGCACGTAGGACAGCCTTACGTAAACATTTCACCGGAATGATTGACAGTAGAGGACCACTTATTTTGATGATCCACCCAGAAACAGAACATCCTCCACTATACCTTTAAACATGAAAAAAAAACTTTATCATAGAAATGAAAAAAGCAAATCCAAAAACCAAACAAAGCCACGTAATAGGGAGACGTTAAGCTGACCACAAAATCAGGAAAAATTATAAAAAGTAGGGATGCACGATATTGGGATTTTGGCCGATATCCGATATGCCGATATTTTTAAACTCATGTAGCCGATAACCGATATTGATACCGATGTTAAAGCTGGACAAAAATAAGTAGTCATTGAAAATAGCAGTTTTGTTATCCATTTTTGACACTTTGAAAAATAATATACTCAAATATATTTTCATATGCTGATATCAAATTGATTTTTAAAAACGCGGTATCGATCTATTTTACTTTCAAAATCTCGTGAAATTGAATCGTTCTGTTACAAACTCTTGTGATATTTTGCAAATTCTTGTGAGAAAATGTTAA